CACACACACACACACACACGCACACACACACACTACCAAGCTATTTTTTTGGAGGGGCGGGTGGATTATTTGTTATTTGTTGGTGGTGGTTTATTCATACAAGGCCTACCGTCTTCCCCCGAACACAACGCACCCTTATTTTGGCTGTATCTGGCCGGAATTATAGCTTGCATACATTCATTTTTAGGTTGCGTTATGTTCGGGGGGAAGACGGTAGTTCTTTGTCACTTCTGTAGAGCATGGGCTGTCCATTTGCTGAAGGCATGTCTGTGTGTGGCTATGAGCTTTTTTGAGCAGGATTGTTCGTTTGGAGTTATGGCCAAGGTATCTTAGCGAGGAGGCTCAGAGAGTATTTGCTGTGGGCGTCGCTCCCAGGGGCTGCTCTTTCTGATCAGATCGAAGATGGGAGTTTCTGTGATCCGAGGCTCCTCAGGAGGCTCAGAGAGACTTTGCTGTGCTGTTTTAAGCAAAAGTGCTCCTGGTGTCGCGTGGAGATTCTGTGGGCCGACTCAAGAGTTCTTTTGTGGTTTTGTGCGCCGCCGACTCAAGAGGGCTCTCCCAATTTTTCTGAACCAATGGGGGCTTGATTCAGAAAAGTTGGGAGAGCCCAATTTTTCTGAACCAATGGCCCACAGAAAAATTGGGAGAGCCCTCTTGAGTCGGCCCACAGAAAGTACCGACCAATGTACGTCCTAGTTTGTAGAGTCTTCTGTGTTTTGTTGCCCTCATTCTTTGTAGTCATTTGTCAAACCACCAGTAAGTACCTGCCGCATTTTTCGTACCCCCCGGCCTCGAATGAAATAGAGGACCGCAAGGGCAGAGGCCAATTCCGCTGCCGCATTAACCGCCACCCCAACAAGTGGGTTCTGGTGGTTTCAAGGATGTTGCCTCTTCTCCTCCATCGATGTACGCACACTTCGGTGGCAGACAGGCGAGAGTGCACTTGGCGCTTTCCTCTATGTTCGTTTTCTTATAGATTGAGAAATAATAATATCTGTTCAAAAAATAATAATAATAATAATATCTGTTCAAGTGTGCCGCTTTGGCGGCAGACGGGTGTGTGGTCACTTCCCACTCAACCACATAAACGGTCAGATACATCCGAACTTCACATCTTCTATTGTACTGGCCACGTATACATTTTTTGCTTCATGGATGGAACGAGAGAGAGTATGCTCTTTTTACAAAAACACCCACCCCCACCCCTGTCTCTTATACACATCTAGATGTGTATAAGAGACA